GCCTACTTCGGGCCTCGTTCGACCATGCGTTTCTTGGCATGCAGCATCTGCTTTGATACTTGAGCAGCGCTCGGAGGGATACGTGTAACATTACGTTCAGCCCGCGAGTTATGGTCCGGACACATGTTAAAAACACCTATGGTGTTCACCAACTCTGATACTCCAATCTCCACCGCATTGGCCGGTGGCCACACCAATAGCGCACCTGCTTCCTAGCAGAGGTGGGTTCATGACTCACCAAGGCTCCACCAGGAGACCTGCGCGTAGCACCCAGGGTCTTTGACCTCCAATCGATCCGTTGCTCGGGGTGTTCCAACCATGCCATACCAATGATAAGATCATATCTTGCATCAAAGTCTAAAACTAGGCACCGTTCCACGCTATCGAAGTCAAGAAACTTGACACCGAATTCCACAGGGTCCTTCGGCACAGTGACACAAGTCCCTGTCGCTAAGCGTTTAGTGACGGTGTCACATAACCGCAATTTCAGCACCTCAGCATACAGCTGACTTCCTTCGATCGTGGAGCGTCGAGCATTATTGCCTGACGCCCCGAGATCGATAAGGATTTTCCATGGCACTTCATAGTCGCTTTTAAGACCAGCAAGCCCGGCTTGCACACACGTTCCGTGTTCAGAAGCACGTAGCTCTTCGGGGCTAGGCCCTGCTGCCCTCTACACATTTGAGGCTCAACAGAACTTAGCTCTACCCCCGTAGGGTGCCCCGCGTCTACGGGCTTCCCCGTTTCCCCGCGATAAACCAGACGACTGGTAAGAAGCGGAACGTCGGTTCGATGAACGTTTTCGCCCCTTGCGCAGAGGACAACCAGTCTGAAGAGGACGGGTGTCTTCACCGACATAAAACCGTCTAGTGTTTACACGCTGCTCGGAGCCCTTCCCCATTCTTTCTCAGCATAGCTGAGATCCGTTGGCTCAGGCCCGCTCGACGAGCTCTGAGGATGTGCATCCCGTCCAAGTCGTGTCGACTTGAAGTTGAATTTGGCATTTGATGCCACGTTCACCGCCTCTTCAAAAGAAAGCGGATGCACACGGAAGAATTTCATTCTGGTCACGCCAGTGCGGAGGCCTCCATAAAGACTGTCACTGCGACCGCCTCGGGAAAAGAATTAGTTCTCAACTCTTGGATAAATTCCATTAACCCCTTCTTGTGCTGCCGTGCGGCAAGGATACGCGATCGCATGCGATATGCCTGATTAGGCGGTGAGAACACTCGCAAAAGCTGACGCTTCAGCTCCTTCCAGGAGGGAAAACCAGCTTCCACTGAAGCGTCGCACATTGGTACCCATTCTCGCACTCGACCATCGAGCTTGGATATAGCTAGCGCCACGCGCTGTTGCTCGTTTTGGAGCATAGAGGATGCCATAGTCACCTCGGCCTCTAACATCCAAAGCTAGAAATTTCCTCCATCCTTACCCTCGAAGGTCTTAACGCTCACCATGAGCGGCCTGGGTCGGGAGAAATCATCCGTCGTCGTCGACGCTGACAGCTTCTGCTGTAAGTGCTCTAACAAGGCATTTTTATGATTTGAAAACACCTCTAGGCGCCCTTATTGCCTCAGGGCCTTGTGAAACAAGATGGTCCACGCCTTCAGGGCCAAGCATGGATATCAGCTTAAAAAGCCCGTCCTGTATGCCCTGCGACGAATAGGAGTATTTCTCCATCCTCACAGAGGATCAATCGTAACGACTCAGGCGTAGAGTGACTACGAGTGCTACCAAGTGCATCGAGCCTGCCGTAGCACCTTGCTAAGAGGAAGTAGGCTAAGGTCACCGACCTTGCGTTCTTTATAAGAACCAGTACAAGGGCAGCGGATAGCAGTCCGCTGCCTCCAAGAGTACTAAGAACCTTAATCAAGATAAGTGAACATTTCCAGAAAATTAAAACTGTTTTTTGAATAGTTGCCGCAGAGCCAACAACTTCTAAAACCCTAGGTTCTTCTAATTATTATAGTAAAACCTAACTAATATAGTAAAATAGAAAATATAGCAATATGTTACTACTGGCAATCTTGCCACCTGGTGGCTTCTTGTTACGGTGTAGCCACACCACTGCATGATTACACCAACTTGTGTAATCTACACCTATGTTTGGTCACACCATCTTGTGAAACCCGCATTTTATACAAAGATACGTGTAACCACGTTACATCCGTTCTCTTGAACACGGAACGTGTATGCAAGCCGGGTTTGCTGGTCGTGGAAGTGATCGCGAAGGGCTTTGAGTGGTCATGGAAGATTCCGATCGGGGCGCTGGGCACGCTAAGCAATGAAAAGAAGTCAGCTGAATGCTAAGTCGCGAAGGCGCTTTTGAGTGACATCGTCAATGTTCGTTTAGCGATGTGGACTTTTGTCACGGTGCCGAAGGTCCTTCGCGACTCTGATAGCGTAGAACGCTGCTTAGTCTTAGACTTGGATTCAAGGCATGACCTTATCCTCGGTGTGGCATGGCTGGAACACCATGAGCCATGGATCGACTGGATGTGAAAGACCTTGGGCTCTACGCGCACGTCAGCTGTTGGAGCCTTGATAAGTTAGGAATCTCCCGCTTTTAGACGGCAAAAACGCTATTAGCACGTGCACTGAACCGAGACGGTCAACGTGCTGGAGATCGGAGTATCAGAGTTGGTGAACACCGAGATTTTATCGAACAGAAATCCCGAGCGTGGCTTGCGGGCACCGACTTTACCACACGATTTTAGCCTTAGCCTTATACTTCATCCTGAAGTGGCACGTAACCCACCGAGCGCTGCTCAAA